AAGAAATTTAAAAATATATGATCTTTGAATACGAGAGGTCTTCCTAAGCCACAAGAACAGTTCTATAATAAAATGACAGACTTGATTACATAAATATTTAAAGGTTATATACCCCAGAAATTATTAGTAAAATTAAAAGTAAGCGATAAAGAGAAAAAAATATTTTCAGTGTTTTAAAATTATTAATTTTTATCTAAAGACATTCAGTGTAAAAAACTTTGGCAATTTATTAATATGCATCGAAAACCTAGAAATTCCACAAAGGATTTACTCCAATATAATTAAAGATAAAAATTTAACAAAAATATTTATAGCATTATTATTTCCATTACTATATTACTTATACTAACTGGAAATAAATTTCCATAAATAGAATCATTGTGAAAATGTAGCAAGTCATTTAAACGTAGAGTCAAGTCTTCAAGTGAGAAAAGCAGCCAGATAAGTATGCTAAAAAAATTTTTAAGTCTTAAATTCACATAGGCCTATCATAACTCAAAATGTTGGCAATGGTTTCTCTATGGGACAGCATTACAGAAAGTTTCTTTGGCTTTGTGATATTTCTGGATATTTCCGAATTTATTATTTTATTTTGCAATATAGGGAAACATTTAAAACTTATGGAAGATTTTCTGAGATCCGCAAACAAAGCATCTACATTAAGGAGAAGTGGGTGTCCACAGAGCAAGGCTTTGAATGATGACCATTATATTTTCTATGAACTGACTGGAGTAAAAAACACAACCCTTCCACAGGATGATAAAAAACAGGAGTTTTTCTTCATGAAACTGTATAGAACCCCATGTGGTCAGGCGTGATATGGTGAGTGTGCGCCAGTCCTCCTCCATGTAGGCTGAGAGGCATTAGAACCTTCTATTTTTTTTAACTTGGAGTGTATTGAGAGTGTACCTGTGCTGGCTATCTTCCATTTGCCTCTCCAGATCCACTGTCTCAGCTTCTGAACCCTATTCTGGCCCCCATGGCCTAACCTAAAGGGATGGCATAAAGTGGCTTCCAGCCCTCTGACTTTTCGGGTTTGGCCAATGAGACGATGGCAAAAGACCAGAGAGCAGGCGAAGAGGGTCAGGGTGTTTATTCCCCTGCTCCCTCCCCACAGGTCCCTGCAGCCCTCCTCTGAAAGCCCTGCTCCTGCTGGGCTCCTGTTGGGCAGCCTTCTCCATACTCGGCCTCCCTCTGAAGTTCTGAGTTTCCCAGCAGTTTCTTGGCCCCTTTCTCCACCTTCAGGTATAGGGCTGTAAAAACTTGTTACTATTACCATCCCCACTCTGATTACTGCTCCGTCTCTTATTGCTTTTCCTAAACCCTGCCCACACCTTTGTAAACAGTCTCTAATAAACTCTCAATCAAATCACCCAATTTGAGTGTGCCACTTGATTCCTAACAGGACTCTGCTTGATCACACAATTAAGAGAAAACAGGGCTAAGTGCATTTACACTTCAAGGGAAAAAAAGTGACCTCATGGGGTTTAGAAAAACATTTTCATTAAAGTTTGAGATAAAAAAATTTAGCTCTGTTAACTCCATGATTCAATGATTCTATGATACCTAAAACATCCTTATGCTTTCTAGTTTTTTGTGCTTTATTTTTTCTTTTTTTAAGGCTTTGAGCAAGTTACTAACTCTTACATAACTTCACCACATACAGGACAGTGTACTGGAGAGGAACGTAACATTGGTTATCTGTTTCTCATGAGACAAACTGCTTTTGCCACGAATTTAAAGGCAGACATTTTCCTCTCAGTTTCCCCTTGTACTGTATCACAGAACACCTTTTCACTTTGTTGTGACTGGATTTTACTTAGTCCTGAGCTTTATGAGCTAATCACATTTACTGCATTCAGATATTTCTGGTCTGCCCCACAGAAAAGTGGCACCGACTCACCATGATTAACCATTGATTAACCATTTAAGGATGTAAGTGGTCCACTAAAAAACTTCTTAAATCCCATAAGCTTGTTTCACTAGCCAGCTCTTATACTCATAGGAGAAAAGACAATTCTGAGAACATGGGGTCTGTCACTCAGATTGTCCCTAGCCTAATTCCAAGTAAAAGAGGAAAAAATTCTCTTCACTTAAAAGTGCTGTGAGGCATTCCAAACCCATGGCAGAACTGCACTGATAATCACGTAAGAAAGTACAGCACAAGAGATGGGAGAAAGCAATTCTCTCATTTGAGCAGAGTAATTCAGGCCCTCCCTGAGTAGTGGAGGTGAACTCCTGCACCTGTGGCAGTCCCCAGAGTGACAGCTCTAGCAGGTTCTGGTGCTTCTTTCAACTGGCACATCACCAAGGCTCTAAGAGCTCACAGACTGGCAGCAAAACGGCCCTTGATGGTGGGCACAGTATCATCAGAATGGCATCCAAGGTTCCTGTGGATGCCAAAGGCTTGAGCTGCCAAGGGAGTAGTCACAGTGACAGCAGCTACAAAGACACTGATGGTTTTGGAAATGCCAGGAGAGAGCATCCTTGGCAGTTGGCTAACTACCCTCATATGGCTAAGAGGATTCAAGAAGCAACAGTTTAAGGGGACAGCTTCTCTGATATCAGCTCTTTCTTTCTATCTTTGAACAAAAGTGAGTTTACAGTATTAGGTGATATCTTAAGCTCTCAGAAAAAAAGATCATTGAATGATAAACTCTGAATAGAGGGAAATCTAAGCAGTGGCAAGTCATGGCAAATCCAAGAAGTGGCCGAGGGCAGCATAAGGACAGTGTGAGACTCATGATGAAAAACATCACTCTTTTCCATCTCTGCCAAGAACTGGACTTAGATGTCAACAGCACAGAACTGCAATTGCACGCTTGAAATATGAATGCTAATACACGCTAAGAAAAAGAAAAGCACTGAAGATGTAAAAGACATAAGACTCTCAAGACCTTGAAATATTTTGGATCTAATTTTTCTGTCTCTGTGCTTCTGACAGAGAAACAAATTTTGTATGTTTCCCTAAGGGAATGCATAGTTATAAACCAAATGCTTATAAGACTCCAGTTTTCTCAATGGCAAAGCTTAAGATGATAACAAGGAAAGTGTTAACTTCCTCAAGATTGGCAATAAATGGCAAGTCTGCAATATACTGGTATTGCGTAATGGGTAAAAAAATGTTCCCTGAAGGCATGAGATATCTTATTCTTCTTTGATACCCCTCAAAGTGTATCTGCATAGTAATAAGTACGATAGAGATCCCAAGACACTGAGCAGCAGACCTAGAGGCACTGTAAATAAGCCAAAGTACCACCACCAGTGGGAACTGGCTGGGGACACAGATGGCTTCTCCAGACAACAGCCCCCTCTCTGTCACACACTGTCATGGTGCTGTCAGAGCCCACTCCAAAGAGCTATCATTATTCACCCCTTCCTCCTCCTTTTCCCCATCCCATCCAAGATCTTAAAGATTTCTGAATATATGTTTAATTTATATATACATGTGTATATATATATACACATATATATATATATATATATGTTTTACTATTAAATTGTACACATGAAATAAAAGACTGGGAAAGCTACTGATAAGGCAAATTACTGTGCTCCTCTGTGCTTCTGGAAAGTGAAGACTAAAGAATCTCTGTAGAACTATAAACACCCCCCAAATATTACCTGAAGAACTGAAAAACAATTTTTGACATTTATTTCCTTCTCTACTCAGTGAGTGCTCATTACAAGGAAGATGGTCATGATACACTGGTAGGACGAGACTAAGATCATCAATACAAACTAGGAATAAGAGCTCAAACAGGATTCTGGTTTTGTGTTAAAAGCAAACCAGAACTTTCAATTGTTCAAACGGGGTCAGATCATGAGAAAAATAACTTGGTAGGTGGTTCAATATTGCAGTCGCAAGCATCCTAATCTTGGAAAATCTAACGTAGGCACGAAGACTAAAACAGCTATAGATATTTTCACTAAGGTTATGATAGTTTTCATTCTGTAAGTTGAGCACTGCAGAAAAAAAAAAATGCTATGAAATATTTGACATCTTAGGGTAGCCAAAAGTTTGCAGTTGTACAAATGGAGGCTAAAAGCAATCAGGAGATAGAATGAGATTCATCTGCCAACTCGAGATTCATCTGTGTACTCAATCACTGAAGTAATTTTTATTACACTGCAGAAAACCCACCCATTACTAAACCATCCAAACTTTGATCCACTTCTGTCTATCAATGAATAGGAACTAAAAGAAATATTTTTCTATGACCAGATAGACTGATCTTAATAATATCCACATACCTAAGACAACCAGCAATATATAAGTCTGTACAGGTAATCTTTAAATATCAGAAAGATGATAGAGGTTTCATTAGAGACATATATAGACACACATAAACAATTAAGATATACTATCCTCTCATTCTTCATTTAAAAAGAATTTCATATGAACCTTTCACTTAAAGAGTAAAAATATCTAGATTTCCATTCCATTTAAATATATTCAAGCCAAGTCCCTGGGAAGGTTTCCAGAGGGTTAGATTGCTTTAAAAATGGTCATGCATTAAATAAAGCTTTGTCTAACAAAAGTAAAAGAGTAACTGATATGGTATCTGTACATTCACTCTGCACAAGGCTCCTGTAGCTCAAAAGCAGTACTCAAACAACAAATCAGGTTACGGCTCTGGAGAATCACGCTCCACCTCTTCCAGTAACCCTGCCAGCTCACACAACATTATATGAGGGCCAACCACCTGCTTCCCGAGGAATCTGTAATCTACCTTCCCCATTAGTTCCCCAAAGGGTCTCCTACTTTATACATGTGCCCCCGCTTCATTCATTCCAGTGCATTCACCTTTCATCTCTAAGATATCCGTTAACGATAAGTGTGCAAAGGTTCACTTTAAAAGCACAACCAAAAAGAAAACCTTTCAGCATTACAGTTTATAATGAAACAAAAACTCAAAATTCTGAGTCTATTGAATTTGAACTAAAAGCCATCGCAGCAAGAAGTTCATTACTGGGTACCTGGCTTGTTTTCACATTACCTGCTTCAGTGTACTTCAATCCCACTTTTTCTTCTGTGTCCTTTGTCTTTGGGGGTGGCCAGACAGCTTGGAGTCTGCCAGGAGTCCTATCGTCCTGCTCAGTGGGGCTGTGGTCAGGCTATTTAAAAAGTGGGCAAAGAAAAAGATAAGTTAAATGAAATGTGCCAGAGGCAGTTATTCCCTGAAAACAAGCATGCTAACTCTAACTCTAAAATTAATATTAATGGCCAGTTTCGCATTGCCCTCGTTGGCTGTAAATGAAACATCTCACTACGGTGTTATCCTTTCCCAGAAATATAAAGTGATTAGTAGGAGTGAAAATTAAAATATCAAGCCAAGGACACTGGAATGTGACTAATATACAGCATGGTAACCATAGTCAGTAATACTGTATTACAAATTTGAAAGCTGCTAAGAAAGTAAATTTTAAAAGTTCTCATCACAAGAAAAAATAATTTGTAACTTTGTATGGGGACAGAGGATAAATAGATTTATTGTGGTAATTATTTTGCAATACATACAAATCACGTTGTAACTAACATAATGTATGTCAAGTGCACTTTAAAAAAAGGCAAGGTCAAGTATTACACAACCCTTGACAGATGATTTTTACCGTGTAACTATTAAAAAAATTTACAAATAAACTTTGAGCTAAAGATATAGATACAAATGCACTACAATCAGGTACATTTATAGGAACGTTTACAAGTGTATCCCAAACAACTCCAGGGTTATTTACAATATAATGACTACTTTTGCATTTTCCATGAACAATGGCTGTAGGCCAAGATATACTCCTCTAGGCACTTTACATTGCTAATTTCAATTCTTTTTCTTTCCTATTAAAAAAATAATAATAATGAGATGGCCTTCATGTTCAAGCTATTTTTGTGAGTTGATTTTTTTAATACTACGAGAATGTTATATCATGTGTAGTTTTTAACTGTAACTTGAAATAATTTTTCTAAAGATTTTTTAATTTGTAACATTTTAACTGATCAAATATAACAGGGAATGATTGAGTTCTGAGTTGATACTGACCAAGAAATTCTATTTTTCTCTTCATGAACCTTTAAAATCTACTGGACAGATGCTTGCAGGTCTTTATAAATTACCAAATTTCCTTTGAATAACAGTTTTCATTAATTAGATAGTTGCCATGTGCTAACTTCATTTAATCTTCACAACCATCATGTAAAATGACAGTTACTATTATTTTTTTCCTCATGAAGAGATTGAGGCTCAGAGATGATCAAGGCCACCCAGACGGTAAATGGCAGTTAGAATCAAAACCCAGATCTCATTATCCATCCAGTGTTTAATCAAGATGCCTTATATCCAACATGAAATATTTCAATCACATTGCAAATATGTATTCTGCCAAATGGCATACTTATAAAGAAGAAATAGTTTTCGCAGAAGTATATAATTAAGTGGTGAGGAAATCTGGGCTATGTTTCCATACTGCATTGCATCTTCATGCTGTTTAATTTTTATAGGAACATTTACTATTAACATTCAAACTCAGACTGACAGGTTCCCTTTCCTACCAGCCCATCTTTACATATAACCCTCTTTTAACAATCCAGAAGAATATAAAGAAGAAAACTCTTCTGTCCAACTCCATACTCCTCACAAGGACAATTTCATATAATCGTCTTCGACCTAAGAGACAGTCATAAACAACAGGGTGACTGGGATTCACTTTGACAGGAAACCTCAAAATAGATAGAGCAGCATCATATTTTATAAGAAAATGCAAAACCCAATTCTACGTACGCTTTTGGAATCAGAGGGGCCATCCGCTGGCCTTGACCTGGACCGTTCAAACACAGCTCTTAGGGACTCCTTCTCATGCCTCATCTTACGCTTGAGAGCTTCCAGCTCAGAGGTGTCAGCTGTGGTCCCCTTTTTGGGGGGACGGATAAATAAGGCTTTAAAGGCCTCCAGGGCAGTTTCTGGGGGCTTTGGCTTGACCTCTCCACCCTGGGTTTGGGTTGCTCCGGGGCAGCTCTGGCTCTCCGGGGCAGCACTGCGGCCCATCTCTTCTCCCCTGGGTGGCTCAGGGTCTTCTGCCTTCAGTTCGGCTCTGGGCATGTCAATGCTGAGTAGCTGCGAGAGCTGCTCCAGGAGAGTGGGAGTGGCCTTCAGATCACTTGTTTTCTCCCTGGTTTTCACTGCCTGCGGCACTATCTGTGGCACTGTCTGTGGCCCTGCCTGTGCTAGGGACTTCTGAACAGGCTGGGTCAATTTGAGCAAAGCCAGGTCCCCATCCTTTGGTTTAATCTCAGTGATGGTCTCCCCACCCTCAGCTGGGGCCCCCTTCTTCAGCACACGAAGCCCACTAAAAAAAGCTGGAAGCTGGAATGACTTCTCTCCAGGGACTTCTTTTTTAGAAGAGGTATTCTCGGTGACACCAACACTTAAGTTCTGGTCTGTTACCACAGGTGGAACTTGGAAACCTTCTTGTCCAGCTGGTCCTTGGCTGGGGCTGTGCTCTGTCTGAAGACCACCACTGCCAAGCTCCGGTTTGCTACCTATCTCAGGTGGAGTCCCTGGAGGACCATCGGCACAGAGCTCTGCATCACCCTTTTCCCCAGTGGCAATATTTTCCCAAAAACCTACACTCGCCTGGCTTGTCTTTGGGCTCCTCAAATGGCTTAGATAAAACAACACTAGGGGACTTCAGGCCATTGGCATTACTTCCTTCTTCTGGCTCCTGGCCACCATCCTCAGAGTCAGAATCACTGGTGGTATTTACAAGGGTCCCACGAACCAAAATGACATCGTCTCTGCTCACACTCAAAGCAGTGAGTGGGAGAAGCTCTTGACCAGGGAGAGAAACCCCTGCCTCTGCTTTTCTCTGACTCCCTTCTGACTCCATCTCTGTCTCCACCCTTGCAGTCTTCCCATCTTTTCCGAAGTCAGGTGGGACCTGAGCCTCTGCCTCCTGCAGACCCGAGCCATTGCTGGGATCACCCAGCTGTGGTGTGGGATCCACCACTAAACTGTGGAATGCTTTCAGCACTGCATCTTCCTCTTCAGGCTTCACAGATTCCAATTTACTTGTAAACCCAAACAAGGATTTCATAGAGAACTTGCTCAGGATCGACTGAGCCATTTCAAGTTCAGCTTCAGATTTTTCCGGTTCTGCGACATCACTGCCACTCAGAGAGTCACCAACGTCCTCCATGTCTCTCAGCAACGCCTTCAGTGGAAGTTCTGACTTTTGTTGCCTTCCCCTGCTCAGTTTATCCACTCCATCGGCTCTTAACTTACAGGACAGAGAGCAACAGGACCCGGGAGCCAGACTCCTCAGCGGCGGAGTCAGCACACTTGGTCTCTTTCAGGTCACTTACTGTGCCCTCCTTCCGGGTTGTGCCACGATGGTGCGCCCAGGGCAACTGTAAAAAGTCCGTGGAGCTTTATGCCCAGAAGCAGCAGAGGCTGCGCACCTTACTACACACGGACTGGGGAGGCTGCTCCTCTGGGACTTCCGTATTTATCCCCGAGGACAAAAGGCTTTTTGTCGTAAGGAAAGTCAGCCTGCCCCCAGCCATCCCAGCCCAGGACTTCATCACAGCTCCTCCCCAGTGCCTGTCGTTCTCCCGGTTGCTTTCAACTTCCTCATTGGTGAGCGAGTGAGGCTCCAGAAAGTGCTGAGCCGGCAAACTGATCCTGACAGTCCCGGAACAGCCCAAGAACTTCAAAGGCGAATCAGCAGAAAATGACCGAAATACTTCTTACGGTCCCTCCCGTGCCATCTAAATTATGGTCAGAAGCCTGTGCCACCCAGCCAAAAATAAATAAATAAACAGACAACAACAACCAGCAGGGCGCACAGATCAACAGCCACTCACAAAGCCCAAAGCAAAGAAATAAAAGTAAAGAAAGAAATAGATCATTTCAAAATGAATGGAACTCAAAGGCAGTTAACTTACTGCCCTTGAAGACTTTTTTTTTTTTTTTGGTAAGTGCTTTCTTCCGTTTCCCTGCAGGTTTCATCTGGAATGCAGATTTTAGCTGCCTGGGCCAGAGAAGGAAAACCAACACGACTGGTTTCAGATTACTGCTGTTTTAGCTCTGCCCTGGTGTCTCAGCGTTCTACAAACAGGTACTTAGGCAAGCACGCCCACCACACCCAGTGTCCACTAGCCTTAGGGTGGCAGAGTAAACAGCCCCTGCCGGCTGGAATGATTACCCTCCATGCTCCCTGCCAACCTCAGGCTTCTGGCTCAGCAGCTCTGACTTCCTGGCTTCCTTAGAAATCCTGGCGGCCGAAGGGCACCCCACTCTGCTTCAGTGATCCAACCAACTAAATGAAACCTGACATGGTACAGGGTAACACACAACCTGCCTTGTTAGGCAAAGCAATTCATCAAAGGTCTCTAAGGAGCCACATTCCCCTAAGGGGCAAAATATCTAAAAGATCTCTATCAGTCAGGTCTCTATCACAGACCCAGTTTGCCTAAAACAAAAACAGGACAGACAAAACAACCACCCAACATTGGCTCTATGTAGTTTCCAATACTCTGATTACATGCTGGGAACCTGGCAACTAAGGTCTTGGAAAAATTGCAGCCCTGTTTCCCAGCTGCATAGTTGCCTCACAGGACAGCTTCCTGTGGTTCCTGAAAGTCTTGGTGTTGGTGTTTCTCTTTCAAATCTTGTCCAGTCAGCAGGCATTTGATAAGACTTTGCTGGATCAGGAGAGTCAAATTGGCTTAATAGTAATCATGGCTTAATAGTAATCCCCCGCTCTCTTTGAGGAAAGCTGCGAGAAGACTGAGCCCTAGTGTTTAACGCAAACAGCAATTTATTCTGCAAAATATTGGTCCCACAAGCAAAACAACAGTTTTGCCTTCTCCACAGCAAGGGATAGCTGTGGGTCCCACACTGATAACTTGTATCATGTTCCCTAATAAATATTAATACTGAAAAACTCCGATCGCAATAATATATTCCTAACAATATGTTCAAAAAGAACTCTCACATAAAAAGAGTACATATTATATTCCATCAATCCCCATGGGAAAGTTAAGACAATACTCCCTAATCTCTGATTTGACCTGGTATCTAAATGGATACTTTCCTGTTTGCTACTGATCCTAGTATATTTTGAGATTAGTAACTAGGGCACACTTAATTGAAAGGCCACCACATATGCAGAAATATTCATTGGCGCCATTTAAGTCTCAGAACAAGCTTGCTGTTTAAAGAAAATGCCCACTGATAAAATCATACTTCTGCTTCTTCAAAGCGAGGGAAAAAAAATCCTCACACCAGATCATAAGATCAATCTTTTAAAGAACTATGTAGACCATCCCATATGCAGGTGAGGGAAGGAAACATGGCACATATTTGGTGTTTTTTCTTTAACTGAGGAGGCTCCATTTTCCCAGATATAACTAATTACTGATTTTCAGAACACATTTCCAAGCACCCTCCCCAGACTGGGGAAAAATGAGACATAAACTGGAAGGGGGTGTTGGCCTTTCTACACCACGGCATGGAGAATCATAAAGTTTCGGCATCCTCTCAATTTCATGGTAAGTGAGGCAAGTCTTGGGTCTCAGGAGATGATTTGAGTCCAGCCCCTCGAGGTAGGTAAGGTATTATTAGGTTCATTTTAAAAGTGAAGCAACCATGGCCAACAGAACATAACTGCTACAAGTTGCATAGCTAATAAGTGGGGAATGGAAATAATATCAAATATTTACTAGGTGTTTACTATGTGCCAAGCACTGTTCTAGGTGCTCCACATATATCAACTGATTGATGTACATAATTATAAGGTTAATATTGTTTTCTTTTTCCCATTTGGAAGCACAGAAAGATGAAGTGGCTTTCCCATATTCACAGCATCACCGAGTTGAAAAATTAGAACTTGAATTCTGGCAATCAGGCTCCAAAATCCACAACTCTGAACCACTCTCCTAAAACCTTGAGTTCTACTTCCTGCCAAAATAGGATGCCACACACATGTGAGTTTTGAAGTGTGAAGGTGTGTCAACTCAGGTTGGTGGTGGTCTCTCAGTAGGATAAGTAACACACTTTACCGAGATGACACAGAAGACTGACTTCACAAATGTAATGAGAATGACCATTCTTTTCCCTTATTGTAATTTAGGGAGAAACCTAGAAGAGCTGCTTAGAAAAATCAAACTCCTAGCTGGCCTCTCTACTGGTCACAGTCCAGACACAGAATCCTCTGAACACAGATTCATCAAGAAGCTTTCCAGCTTACCCATACGATTCCCCTTCATTTATGAAACATGACTCCTATTACAAAGCTGTATTTACCCAACAATCATTATTAAGCACTATGTACAAAGCTTCGGAAATATGAAGATGAAGAAACTCCAGTCCAGCCCTGCGCCTTCATAAAATGTGTAGTTTAACAGGGGAAATCAGCCAAGAAAGAGACGACTCTGTTTATAGTACTTTCTACCCCAGACTCAGTCTGAACAGCAACAAGTAGACCTAAAACGATTTTAAATAAAAGCAGTAACCACCTAAGTATGAAGAAGAGTAAAACAGAGCAGCATAGTAATTCAAACAGATCTTTTGAATATCGACTCTTTTTCAAGCCACAGGTTCTCATGATCATAAAAAAATATTATCACTTCTGGTCATTTAGGAAATTGAAAAATGTTTCAGACTGTGATGTTCAAATAAGCAACCTACAAATTTCATCTTAGTTGGTTTGAAAAATGATTCTATTTAATGCTGTAACATTTAGGTGGGGGAGGAACAATCACTTCTCTTGAACGTTATTTACCTCAGGGTCTTACTTTTTTTATGAATACTTACTAAGCACCTAGTACCCAAAACCAGGGACAGCCAAGACTGTCACTTTTACCATCTCTCCTGATTCTCTTTAGTTCTAACCTCAAGACACCTAAGCTTGCTAAAGCTATACTTGAGCAGGCCAAATAAAAATGATCTACCTTAGACAACTAAGTTAAAACAGGAATCATAAATAATTAGTAGCATTTGACCCATAAGGGTGTTCTTTCTATCTGTTTAACTATCTGTTAAAAAACAATCAGTACCCAGCTACTTGAAAATGGAATATAGCACATAGCAATAGACTGGGAAAAGTAAGTAAACTATAAATAAAGTTATGAGTGAGGTAATGGGTGGAGATGGGTTTTTTAGGTTCCAGAAGTATGTTTTAACTTACCGAACGAAGTTGAGATCTGAGGAAATTATGACATCACAATTGCCCCAAAAGACATTTGTTAAATGAATGAGGTATCACATGAAAGGAGCATAAGGTTGTAAAAGAATTTGGGTAGAATCAAGTTGTTGGGAAGCTGAATGGGACTTCAGAAATATTAGAAATCAACTAAGTAGCTCAACCTTCTTATTTTAAAGGTGAAGCCCTCTAAAGTCAAAGGAAGCTAAATAACTGGTACCAGTCCACCTGCCCGAATGCAAGCAGCAAGATCTAAACGAGGCATCCTAACCCCCGTCCACCCCACATCGCACCCTCCTCCTGCCTTGACATCTGACCTTACCTTCTTCCTGATCAGCATCCTCCTTATGCTTACTTTCCACATCTTCGAAATAGAGTCTTGAGGCCAAATGAAAGTCCTTAGGCTTTCCATTCTGTTTCAGTTTAGTAGCACTTCCCCTGCCTTCATTGTGGGGCTTCCCCTTTCCGACTAATACAACACTTAATACAGCCCCTCTGGGTCAGCCTATCAGAAGCTGGCAACTGTTTTTACCAATTGGTTAAAAAGAAAACAGGCTGCACTTGCATATTGTAAGGACAGGTTTCAATGATTAAGGCCTTTATCTACTGAGCAGTATCAAGGCTTCCATGGAAATGTGTTGAATGTAGGTAACAAACTAGAAGACTACAAAAGGCAGGAGGGGAGGCTGGGACATGCTTATGAAGCTGGAAGGAAAGAAGAGAGCAGTGGGTATGTGATTGTTCAATGATCCAGGAACGAGGGCAGTGTGCAGAGTTAAGAATCTGACCCTGGGTCCTGGGCTCGCATCCTGCTCTGCTCCTTCAAGAAGCTTGACCTTAGGCAAGTTCTGTAAGCTCCCTGTGCCTCAGCTTCCTTACCTGGAAACTGGGAATATGGAAAGCACCTATTTTATGAGTTGTTAGGAGCATTAAGTAAACAAATATGTGTTTGACATTCTCATCAATGCCTGCCACATAATAAGTTCTATATGGGTATGATATATTTCTATGGGAAAGAAACAACTTTCTTAGGAATATCAACCAGAATCTAACAGAATTTTTTTTTTACTTCATCAACATGAAACAAGTACTTACTGATGAAATTACAGACCAAGCAGGAAGCTGCCCTTCCCCATTCCATCCTATATATGCACTTGGGCAGAGGGACCATTTGATCCAAACAGAACTGTTCTTTATAGAAAGGCCTGCTAAATATGTACCCCATGGCACACTTGTGCTACACTGAATGAAGCACCAACAAAAATTCTTTCAAGGGACCCCTTGGGGTGTTTCAGGGCTAATGCTCTCTGGATTGGTTTTTTCCATCTGTGTCACCTGACGAGAGTAATTACCTTAAAGTTTTCTCATGTGGCTGCTGTAGAAGGTGACAGAGTTCACCTTGTTCTTTATTACTTTTCTTGTGCTCCAAGATAATTTTTAAACCAACCCAATCATTTCAGGGGAAAAAAATCCATGAATTTGGACTTTCTCAAGGAAAGCCTTTTCTCAAGAGTCTGGTATATGCTGATGATGCTATTGTGAGTGTAGTCCCTTAGCACTGTGATATCAATGACAAAAATAATGTAAGAAGGAAAAGGAAAGGCTGTGACTTGCTTGTAAAGCTGGAGAAGAGGTAAAAAAGGAACATTCTTTATGGTACAAAATTTCTTGGGACATGTTTCTGAAGGATTTTGAGCTTTTCCAAAATGAATAATCTTGGTGTCCCACATGGATAA